TTCTTTGGATTTGCAATCACTTGCTCTCGGCCACAACAAGCGCAATGAATGACCGTTTTGCATGCCTGACAAACAAGCTTGCTGCATTCCTCCGAGTCTGGTGTAGATCCTGCAGACGGGATGCTCAACATGGCCTTGCTGTGAGGCTTGTTGCCTGATGTGGGCGGATCTTCCTGAAGGTTGTCTGGGCCTGGGGAAGAGAGTACATCAAATGTTGACTCATCATCAGGCTCCGCTTCAAGATTACCACCATCTTGTGGTCCCGCTGTCGCTGAAGAGCCATCAGCTATTACCTCCTGGACCTCGGGCGATTCAAAGGCAATATGCCAAGCTCGCTTCAAGCAGCCGCTACTGGAAGTCATGCTGTGCTCTATGGAAATGGCGGGGGGGGGTCGAGAGTAGATTGCACCTTGGGCCCAAATGGCTTGAGGGTGACAACGGTGAATCGACAAGGTTTATTGTTTGCAAAAAGTTCACACTGCCAAACCTTATATATCCCACCTCTTCAGTCGTCTTTTGCGCTTGAGGCACTCCCTGCACACATGGGACCCATATCATCTGGACAGGCCGCAAAAGCGAATTGGTATCCACAAGAAAACCTTGCCTCCAGTCTGTTTATTTGTCAGTTCATGTAAATAGCAACGTATAAGAACTACAATGACTTCTATAATATCTGAATCTTGAACCTTGAGCATTTGCTTTCACGTGCCTTCTGATCATCTCCAGAAGTCTGGCTGCTTGGTAGGTCCTTCAAGCAGCGCTGATGACATGGGTTCTGTACCTTGTTTCTTCCAATCTCGACTGTCAGCTCCTCTGGATTGAGGAGATTCTCAACCATTTTCCCAAGCTCAGCCTGCAACATTATTGTAATTGAAAATGATTGAGCCACCCTCAAGCCTTGTGCCTCCAAAGAAAGATCTTCCCCACGTCTTTCTGGATGCGTTAAGGCATTGCTAGGACTTTTCACCGGTATCCTGTAGCGCTTTGCACCAGGTGTTCCTGGATCGGAAGACGCTCTCTTCATATTATCTGAATTTTTCTGGTTTGAGCCATACAGCTGCTGTGCGCGTGCACCTGACAAAGGCTTTGCTAGCTTAATTTGCATTACTGAGTGCCCCAATGTTCAAGCCCAAAACATGAGCAAAACGCACATGACTTGGGTTCCCTATATGCTATATTAACTACATGACATAGGCTTTTTTAAAAACGATGAGCCTCAGACTTAGGCTGTGATTTTTGGGCTCAGTCATTTCTGTCTGCCTAAGTCATTTGCAGGTAGTATATTGTCATCATTGCTTAAATCCATTCTCAACGGAAAAGGCCTATAATAAGCATTTGGAAAAAGGTTGTATGGCATCAGAAAGACAGCAAACCAAAATGCCTGATAAAGGTAGTAAGCAAAGGGCAAAGAAACAATATGTTGCATCTAAGTCCTTTCGAAGTTGAATATGAAGACATCCAAATATACAACCATGCAATCGCCCCAGCCGTGCTGAAACAAACCGTGATAAGGCAAAGGATGTCAGAAAGAAGGCTGAACAAGCCACGTGTATTTTAACCTAACACTAGTAAGAGGAACTTCCAAAAGGAACAAAGGCATAAACTGTTGCAGTGGCTCTTGCACATAACAATGCTTTTGACGCTCCAGTGGGAGAATTGATGGAGCACAAGCCTACTTTTATTCACAAGACCTATCAACACCGTTTTTAGCACACGAACCGTGCAAAGCAACACATGAAAGGAACTAGGGATGACAAGGCTGCTTGTTCAACACTTGCTGTACCACTCAAAAGGCGAGATGTTGAGGTGGGAACAGTCAAAAGGACATAGCAAAGGAACAAGGGCATGGCAGTAAATCATACAAAGTCTTTAGTCTAAATCCTCTCTATCAAATTGAGGACGATGCTTGGAATACATCTTTTAACAAATCTTGAGGAATGAACAACCCTGCGATCTTCTCCCCAAAAAGTGCTGAGCCGTGTCAAGAACATGAAATGACAGGGTATCATTTTCAAGAGCGGCCTTACACATAATCACATGTTTGGCTTGGGGCATGGCTTTTCGTCAATAAGTTCTTCCTACACCCGACAAAAGGGCACGGCAAAGGAACAAGGGTATGCCAGAAAATCGCACAAACGTCTGTAGTCTAAATCATCTCTATCAATTTAAGGCAAATGTTGGGAAGATATCATCAACAAATCTTGAGGAATGAACAACCCTGTTATCTTCTCCCTAAAAGACTGAACCGCAGCAAGAACATACAATGTCAAGGTAATGTCTTGCGTAGCGGACTTTCCCACAATTGGCATCGTGTGAACACCCTCAGCCTATATTGTTGTGAACAAAAGCTCAATCAAACCAATTCCATCCTTCTTTTTCACTTGCAGAAATTTTGAACTTCAGGTGGGGAGCGTTCAGAATTGATTGTCCTAAACCGAGAACGAGCGTTTACCACAGAAATTCTAAAGATGGGTTGTGTACCTTTTTGTGTGCAACTGTTGTCAGTCCTTTTGCACTTGCCTCACCCAAACAGCTTTGGTCTGAGTTGGTGAGGATGCACCTTGCAGGCCACGAAGATGACAAGGTGGGTCTACTTTGCAAGGTCTTACTTGAGAACTCCGACTTCAAAAAAAATTAACTACTGTACATCAATGAAATCTGCAAATCTACAACAAACGAAGCACCATCATCATTTTGAAATGCTCCTTGAATGCGTAGGAAGGTGTAGACACATACTATGTGAAGAAGAGAAGAACTATGCCGCTTTGCTAGTTAATTCATTGGTACAGTAAAAACCGATTACTCCCTACAGGTTCCGACGTCCTTTAGAGCACAAACCAATAGTAGGTTTGAATAAAATCCGGCCTGGCTGAATGGACTTGAACTTCTGGGCAGAACTGATCTCAAAGAAGGGTTCGTCATCCTTCAACGAGAAGCTCCTTGCAACTCCATCGCAAGGGATCTAGAAGCCCAAAACTTCCTGACCTTGCCGCTTGATGTAAACATGGTAGCCAGTGTGCGCTGAATTGGCTGCAAGTCCAACAATCTCTATACCACCCCGCGTGTCTTGCACAAGTTGTCTGATTTCTGTGTCCTGCCTTCCAATGATCAGCAAGCACTTGTGCTCCGCTTTTGTATAGTTTGGAAGCTCGTCAAAGTGATTTCGATGTTCTTCAATCGCAGCTCATCCGCGAGCAGCCATGACCGCTTCAATGGTGAAAGCTGAACCGTCCTGCATTGTACAATAGATGTCAACCTTCCCCTGAGTTGGGCTCTCCAAACTACTTATGGTTCGAAATCCCAAGTGCTTCAAGACGCGAATTAAAGCAGAGGTGTAATGAACCTCAATTGGGAGCTCTTCTCTCAAAACATCAGAAAGAGCCTGGCCGTTCTCTGCCCTGCTGATGGCCACCACGTCTGCAAGAAGCAAGTAGGGCAGCGCTCGCAAAAGAAAATCTGTGCAACTAGCTGGGTTTGTGTCTATCTCCACTGTCAGCTGCCGCTTTTTTGCAAGCGCTTGGCGGTAATAGGAAGGCATCAGGTAATTGGCGACACCATACTTTGCCCCCACCTTTGCCCAGTCCAGTTCCCGAAACTTTTTGTCTTGCAGAGTAGGAAGTACGAAACCATGAATTGTGAGCTTGCGGCGGACAGGTATGTCGATATCATCAGTTGGACCCTCGCACAAGATTTTCAAAAATTGTTCTGGTATGTTCTCCAAGCGTGCAAAATGCCCATTCACACGAATGGCTCGAATAGTCTGAAGTTCCCCCATCAAGCTATCATCTGGGGCGTGAATCCAATTCTCTGTGTCCCATGCTTGGCTAGCCTTGCCAAGGGCGCGAGTCAAATTCCATGGAGTGCTGTTCCTCTGCTCTGCGCTCTGCTTCTTCTGCACCCATTCCATGCTTCTTATGAAGAGACCTCTGTGTCCACAACAAAAGGTCAGAAAGAACTCAAATCGCATCTTGAGACAAATAGACATCGGCCTCAGCAGGTTGATCAACGAGCACTTTGGCATCTGGCATTGGAGGCGTCCACATGAACTTTGCAGTAATTTCCGCAGGTGTTTGTGAGATAGCTCCATGCATGTCCACAGCTTCAGATGCAGCTGATAGCAACAACATCATGGGAGGCTGCTGTAGGTTTCCAGGTGTCAAGAACATGTTTAAGAAGTCCGGACAACTGAAGAGCAAGTCTCACTCATCAAAGACCAGCACCCGATCATTGTCATGTACATATTTGACTGCATCTTCGATGCTTCGTTTCGCTACATCAGGAGCGGCAGGCTCGTTCTCCAAAGCTGCCCTGAACTTTCTCCGCCAGTGCTGAGAGGTTGCATTCCCAGGGGCAACGACTTGCAAATACTTGGATGGTTGTACTGTACAGAGATATTTTGCTAACGTAGACTTGCCGCTAGCCACACCAGCACGAATGAAAACAACCCTCATCTTTTTGCAACAGAGCTTCAAGCTGTTGAACCGTTTCGTCCAAAGGGATGAAGACATCGGTGGCAGGGTCAGCGAGTTTCAGTGCTTCTGGAATCTCACGTTTGCCACTTCTCACCCTCTTTATCTCCATTGCCGTGTATTTCACCAGCCGCTCCACAAGGTCTGCTTTTCGCCCTGACACCTTCAAACCCTTCTCGCGCAGCTTTGTCTTCAGTTTTCTCACTGCCAACTTCTCTAGGCTTGCTCTAGTAGTTTCTCTGCCTGAACCTGGTACTGCTAGAGTTTGCGAGCCGTTGATTGGCAGGTGCAAGAAGCACAGCACGACAATCGCAATAGCAACTAACAATTTGAAGCGTGATTGACCAACTCGTTGGCGGGCCATGGCTTCGAAAAGGAATGTTCCTACCCTTAAACTTTTCTAGGACAGAGGTGACAAAAACATGGTTGACACTCAATGTATCAACTCTCCTGAGCTTGAAAGGGAGGTGCAAGGTAAGCCTAATCTGCACTTTGAGGTTCACAAAGAGCTAACTTCGCTAAGGCCTCCACACAGCATCCTGGAAGAAATGGGAATTGGCAGCATCGTGGCCTCAACTGATTCAAACGTCACAGCAAAGTTCAATGCGCGAAGGACCACACGTTCTTGAGAGCAGAAATTGGACTCTCAAATGCACGAGCAACTTTAGCACTGATTGGCTATTCTGCCGGTACTGTGTCACACGTCTTCAGCTCCTCAGGCTGAAGCCGTTCACAGCGAGGAAGTGGCGCAACGTTGCACTTTGCACACCTTGTCCATGTGAGTCCTCATATTATCAACATCACGCGCGTGCAACATTAAGAAACAAAGCACAGGCTCCAGAGAAGCTACAGATTTGCCAGGAACCTTTGGTTTTGCACTGTTTTCTTACAGAAGCCTCTCCAAAACCTATCTACTTTTGTAGGAACAAAACAAATCGACACCCCTGCGTTTTGCACTCCTGTCCTAGAAAAACACTCCAAAACCTAGGCGATACTGTGGCAGGAAAGGCCTGGAAAGGAAACAATGTTTTTAGGCAACATGCTGCTGATGTCGCGTAGGTATGTCGTACTTTGTGCACTTAACGACCGTAAAATCTAGGTAAGAATGCAGTCCTGATGAGAAACATCCGTATCCAGGTATAGTATTTATAAATATATATACTTGCTTTTCTCTAACTAGCATAGTCTCCATTTGAAGGTTTCCTCTTGTGCATAAATACCTCATTTGACTCATTTGCTCAACCTTCATCCTCTGTCAAGTTGTTCTTCTTAATCCTTATTTTTTGTCAATGGTTTTTCTTTTCACAAACGGTTGTCATCCTTGGTTGAACCCCCCCAATTGATGGAACTGTCTCCCTCATCAAAAGCCTCCCTTTATTGTAGCTATAGCATCATGATTCGACAAAAGTGTTTCCTTTCCCCAGTGTCTTCTCTTCTGTGATGCCCAAAACATGTTGCGTTTGACCTACTTCTCTGAACCTTTTTCGATTTTTGCAAAATGTGTGCTCTCTCTCTCTCTCTCGCTCTCTTGCAACCCGCTGTTTTGTTTCTATCACATATATAAATCAAGCATTGGTCCGACTTGGTCCTTGTCGAAACAAAGCCTTTCAATCAGACCAAGCCTCACAGAATCTCAAGCTGAGTGCCAAGTGCGATTTTCCGGCTCGGTATTGAGAAGCTGGCAAGTCTCGAATCTCCGCGCACTTCCTGCAAATTAAACTGCCTTGGTCGTATACAGACTTTACTTCTCAGACTCTTCACTGCATACACCCCATGCGAGATGGCAAAGTAAGTTCCACTCTTGACGCCGGTTTCATGCGTCGCTTCAGGATATCCACCTGATGCAAGTGATAAACCTCAACTCAATCCAGTAAGCGTGCTATGCTGATCATGTACAATGAGTCACCTCCCACTCAAAGTCCCAGCAACTTGGTTTGTCGATGCCGCATCTGGGACAAACTGCCTGACAGGATGTCCAGAGAGAATCCTTCGTGAAGCACCCATCCCCCCTTGAGGTCCAGACAACTGTTTTCTTGCTGCGATCTTGCAACAATCTGCTCAAGCCTTCATTGGCATAAAGTTGTTCAAGCACCTGCAAAGAATAGGAAAGGACATTCTGCAAACATACAGTTCTGCAAACGCGGCTGGTCAGGTCCATCGCTCACAATGGATTACGAGAACTGACAAAATAGTTATCTATCTATGTTTGAAAAAGCAACCGAAAGCAAGGGCAAGGAGGCCCAATGCAAGTAAGCTGAAATTGTATATACATGAGTTCCACCTTTTGCGTGTGGGTTGGTGCAACCACAGCAGTATTTGGAGCCAATTTCGGAGCCAGCCTCAAACGACACCGATTTTTAGACGAGTGTGCTACACGTTGGCACACACTGCAAAGCGACCAAAACACCAAGGAGGGAGCATCTGCAAACCAAGTTCAAGCTGGCTTAGCCTGCATCACAAAAGCAAAGTTGCGCAATAAAAGGTCCCATCGTCAATGCTTCAATCTTGCATTACTTCTGAGCCAGGCTCCCTCCCAAACTGTGAACACGTTCTACCATTGTCCAATAGCCGCGAGAAATCTAATCTAGGTGTCTAGGTGGCCGTGCTTGTCAAACAATCAGTCGAATATTGCACATGCATCACTTGAACATTTCTGCAATAGAAACATCAAGTGTCCAACATTGAAAAATAGAATTCGGTCGGTTGAAGAATACGCATTGGTTCATATGCGTGTTCATGCGAGCAAGAACGGAGACCTGGGATGGTTGCGGAAATATCTGCGAAAACATTCACTGATCGACTCATATTACAACTTTGGCCAAAAGTTGATAATCAAGTAGATGGCAAACCTTCACATCAACACCACGTTCTTCCGCTTGATCAATTTCAACTGTTCTGTGCTGCAGTACCAGTTTTAATGACAGTTTGTTCAATGTACATGTAGAAACAGTCCTATGAAGATGATGCCTATCGCCCAAACAAACAAACAATTGCACCCGAACGCTACGGTCATTGTGGCGCATATTTCAGGTCCCCTTGTGGTTCAGGAGCAATGCCTGCGTCAACCAACCGAATTCTGTGCACGCACTATGTCCTATTGCTGCAGTCGGAGTTAGACGCGTGGGTCAGTGAGTGCAATTTGTGTGAACACGTCAATGTATACATATGTTTCTTTTGAAAGTTACACCAGCATAGACCCAGATAGCTAGGCAGAATCCCACGACCTGTTGACATGCGACTGGCTGGAACAACAATGTGCGCAGCCTGCCTGCACAGCCAGCTTACGGCACCTCCACAGCGCGCAAACCAGCTGACACCAGCACCTGTGCGCTTTGCCAGCTGACAACACCGGCAGCGGCGCCAGCACCCGACCAGCGCCGCCGCCCCTCTTAAACGCGCGCTCAGCCAGCTCACAGCACCAGCACCGACGTTTTTTTTTGCACGGGTGGAGGCGCTGTGTGTGCCGAGAGGCACAAGTCACCTTGATTGAATTAAATAGGAGTACTAAGGAGATACGAGCCAGATACCAAAACCAAAAGGCACAAACAACAAGCCCAAAAAAAACACAAACACACCCAAACACCCAAACCGAACAAACCGGGCTCGTATCTCATAAGGGCTGTCAGAGCCGAAGCGACTGTTTTGAGAGTGAAATGAAACGGGGCATTGAATTCATTCTTCTGTCTGCGCTCAGTACGTGAGGATCAGGAGGTAGCAAACTTGCTTTTTGCGGGCAGTGAGTACCTGTGTAGCATCAAGGGTGTTCAAACGTGTGCAGGAGTGAGGAACATTGTGATCAGAGTCTCTGTGTCAAGGCGAGTCATGACTTATATCCAAGAGCACGACTTTGCCTCAGGCAGATTCAGTGTGTTCCAAGTTGGCCTCGTCAATCTGGCACTTGACGGCACCATTTTTTTCCACGAGCGCGGACGCCATGTGGGCGGTGTGCCCAGGTCATCGTAGAAGGAAAGGAAACACTACATAATGATGGGAAAAGGACACAAGACCACAACCAAAAACCAAAACCAGAACCCCAAAACGCAACCCAGAACCCAAAAGAAACCACCGCCAACAACCCATCAAAACCGGTAGTGTTTCCTCTGTACGGATGTGAGACGGGTGAGAAGAGAGTCTGCAAAATTCCTAAGGGCCTGAATTCGCAACGAAAGGCAAAATGCATTTGATCATGGATGTTTGCTTGGGGCGGCCAGTCAAATGTGGCCTTTTGCTGTTGGCAGGGGTGAAACCCTAGCCACTTTGGTGCTTGGCACTCGGAGTATTTCAACTATCTACGAAGTGCCAAGAACAGGTCAGCAGCGACAAAGACTCTTGCCAAGGAGTCAGAAGTTGCAAGGCATGGCAAGCCGTGGAAAATTCCCTCTTCGTAGCACAACCTATACAACTGATTGCGCGTCCGAAGTGCAGAGGCTAATCGTGAGTGTGGCAGTGGAAGGCATTGCAACGACCGGACTGCTGACGAAGTGTTGAGTTCCCTCCCGCAAGGGAGGTATCACCTACACCCCCTGGCTCCTTCTCGCGTGCCAAAAGGGGTAGCTTGTTCATCAGATAGTGTGCGTGGAGACACTATCTTACTGCACGCATGGCCCATGTGAAACAGGTGAGACAGAAGACCTATCCTAGCATGGTACTTATGCCATCTTTGTACAAGATTGGCTATGGTTTGGCTGCCGCAGATGAGCAACTAAGGTTCTCCCTGGGCGCCTTCCATCAACCACTCTGCTACAACCCGCCTACCAGGGACGAGGAGCTAAGGCTCTCATCCCGGTGGGCTCACAAAATTGCAGGTGATGAGGACGAAGTAGTGACTCTGCTTGGTCATCGAAAGGCAGGAGAAGAACTCTGAGCGCAGACTCAGTGTGACTAAGCAAGAGTTGTCCCTAGCGCACTGCTTCTGTGAAGTCTTCCCTCCACTTGTCTTTGTCATTTGGCGGCAGGAAGCGAAGCCACTTAGGCTTGTCGAGGTGCTCGCATTTGTCAAAAGCATTGACACGGGCGTACGTCCCCCTCCAAGTCGTGCTTTTCCGAGTTTTGCAGAATGTGCGAAGCTGTGTGCAACCAGCAAAGGCACGCCTCGCTATGTATAGTAGTGTTGGTGGAATGCAGACCTCTCGTAATGAGGAACACCGGAGGAATGCTTCTTGCTCTATTCTTCGCAAATTTCGAGAAAGTCTGAGCTGTTGCAATTGCGGGCAGTGCGCAAAGGTGGAGCCCAATATTTCTAGAATGTCCGTTCGGGACAGGTCAACGATCTGAAGCTGTTGACAACGTTCACAGGCGGCTGGCCCGACCCAAATTAAAATCTGGCGGCAGAGAGATCGAGACGATGCCTGCTTCCAAGAAGCAGCATGCAGGCAGGCATCGGTTTGGGTTAGTGGGGTCATACTCTGTCCTTTCCAGGTTGAGGTGGCGCAAGGCTGTACATTTCTCAAAGGCTCGAGGCCGGAATTGCGCATGCGGGGCTAACTGGTTACTAGTGTGATTAGTTGCCCCTATTTGCGTTAGAGAGCAACATGCCTCAAAGACCTTGATACCGAATTGCCTGCACCCAGGGGCCATTACAGTACGAAGCAGGTAACATCTACGAAACACTCCACGCTGCAAGCAGACGACTGTGTCTGGCAAGTGAACCACCTGCAGTCGCTGACAGCTTCTCCAGGCAGCTTCACCCACAATGCGGGTTCCTGCTTCAACTTGAACATGTCGGACCTCCATGTGGAAAGAAAAAGCCTGAGGCAGTATCCTATCAGTCGTACCGGATGGAACTCGAATGGCTTTGGCTTCGCCCGTGAGGTGCCCTTTGTGTAATGCATCCACAAAGCACTGTTTGGCAACCACGTTGAAGCAATGATTGTCCCGCAGAGTGTTCCAAATGGGGTCAGCCAAAACTTGGCAGGTGTCCTTATTAACGAATTGCAGCTCGCAGCCAAAGGTGCTGCTGTCCCCCAGATAGGGGAGCTGCTGCAGCACTGCATTTTCAAACTCATGAAGTCTATCATACGCTTGCAGGTCGATTGCAAGCTGGAGTTCCTCTCCCGCAAAGGTGGTCAACCTGAGGTGTAATACTAAGGACATTTCCTCGCTCCCTTGCGAACTGCACAAAGACATAGCATCTGCAAGCATCGCAGAGGGCACCCATTGCTACCTAAATTCAGCTTGAGCCTAGAAGCCCGGACAGTAAGGTGTAGTCACTCACTGAGCCTGCATACTGTTCCAACAAGTGGCTTCTGCACGTCATCCGACCAAAGCAAACACAGCTAAAGCGTTGGTTGAGCCAGGTGACTTTCCAGCTTTGTGGCTGGATGGGTTGAGTCTGAAGCCAGCAAACCATCGTTCAACACCAAACCTTGGGCA